AGAAAGAGAGAGTGTAAGGGGGGAGGGGGAAATTAAATACGTTAAATAACCTATATACATGCACGTACCCACACATTCCCACGGCAATTTGTGGTCATTTCCTTTTTCATCAGCTGGGGCAATAATTCCTTGCTTCTCGTCCATTTCATCCTCATTCTTTTCCTTTTTTTTTTTTGTTGTTGACCCCCACCCTTCCCTCTTGGCTCTCGAATGGCCACTCGTTTCGTTCGTTCGCTCTTCTTCTTCTTCTTTTCAGAGGGGGGGCTGTTTTCTTTGGTTCGCTTTTGTTTACCGTTAGCTCTCTGCAATTGCGGTACGTGCAGATGCTCAAGTTATCTGCGTATGCGGAAGCGAGATGGAATGACTGGTAGGGTAGCCTTGCATAAATATTTTGTAGCTCGCTTTTCGGCAAATATTTTGTCGCAAAAAAAAAAAAAAAAAAAAAAAAAAGACTCCCAAGAATAGAGCAAGCTCTTAAATTAAGTGTGGAACGGACTTGAAAGCCTCAATGAAATATTGATGTGACGGACAGGAGTTTCAGATACACTTGCCTTAAAATGAAACTCTATTTGGTTACCATTTTCCTCAAGCCCAGTGTTGAAAAATATTCCGAAAATGTATTTAGAAAGTGATAGCTTCCCCAATCTAACTGTCTTTCCATTCAATTCTCCACCAATACACCGATTAAAGCCCAAAAAACCAAACTGAAACTGAATTCATATGAAATACATAAATTTTGGAATGCAATTTGGTAACTCATGTGGAATAATGCTCTTAGGACACCGCATATGCATCTCGTTTTCCATCTCTCTCTTCCACTCTTGCATATGTACATACATACATAGATATGTATATGTTTGTGTTTGTATGGTAGGTTGTCTGGGAGGACATGTGGTTGCATGTGCAGGACCAAAATAAATGGAATGACAAACTTTTGTCCTGGGCAAGTGCGAGTGCAAGTGGGAGGGTGAGGGTGGAGGGGGAATGAATGTCTCTGGGCCATTTGCATAAATATTGCCTAGACGCGCCATCTCGCTTCCGCACACCGGCAGCACACTGCTGCGTGCTGCGACGGCCGCTAGGTGGCGCTGTTGTAATCAACTGTGTCAAAATGCCAGCCCAGAAAGTCAAAAGTCGCAGTCACCGTCGTCGGCGTCGTCGCTGCTGTCAAAAAAGCAGCAAAAGATGATGAAGGTGGCGGCAGGCAGAGGTGAGGAAAGTCCAAGGAAACCCGGGTGAAAGCAGGTGGGAAAAAGCCGAAGAAAGACGGCCCAAAAAAAAGTAACGGAAGGCAAGTCAAATTTTAAACACACCAACACACATGTCAACACTAACCAGAACACCAAAGGATACAATTTTAGTCCTTAAAAAAATATATATGTATAAAAAGTCTGACAATTTTGAAATATTTTTGTTAATTAATACTGTTTTACTGATTTTCTTAAATAATATTTTTTTTAAAGTTCCATTTAGTTTATTACTTCTAATATTACCACCGCTTCCGCTAGTGTGGAACTTTCAAGGCACCTGCCCAGCATCAGGCTTTCCAAATTGAGGTTAAAAACGAAAATAAAGCAACAGTAAAAAGAAAAAGAAGAAGAGCAAGAGCAAAGGAAGAGGCAAAAAAAAAAAGCGGCTGTCAACTTGACGAGCACGTAGGTGACTGTGACTGACTCTCTAGCTCCCTCTCTCTCTATCTCTTTCATCACCTACGGAAAGGTAGACAGGACGTGTAAACCATTATCTCTGTCCTTTTTTTCTCGCCTCTCTCCCTGCCATTTGTCTTCATATATACATATATTTTTTCAAAAGTTGTTGTTATTTTTGTAATTGACACTTAAACTCGAAATTTGACGCAAATTGCTAAAATGCAATGGAAAAAAAAAATAGGGAATAATAGTATGTATACTTACATATAAACAGGGTCTACCAAAAATTATAGGCGATTGTAAGACACTCTTACATTTAAGAAATAAATATACTGAATTTTGTAACTTTAAACTTGAAGTACTCATACTGATACTCATACTTATTCAGTATTTGTAATATTTTTATGGACTATCTGTTCGAGTTTCAAGGACCTGAAACTGCAAGTTCTGTTTCTGTTTTTATGTACCCTTCTGGTGTGCAATAAATGCCAGAGTATCTTGGGATCCTGTAATCAAGACAAGCAGTGACATTTCAAGTGCCGCATGCGAAGCGTCTGCCTTCTGCCTTCTACCGTTATCCCAAGCCTCAGTTGGCGTCGCTGCTGGGCTTTAAAGCCCTGTGCTTGCGTCATAACCGCGCTGCTTCAGATGACTTCCTTTCGCTAACAACACTGCGAGAAATTTGGGTTTTTTTAATAAGTTATAGTAGAATTATTAAATCTTATTGTTTAAAGCTTGTTATAATTATTTAAGTGATGGATCAACTTTTTTTGTCTTTTTCTTGGCGATGGACAAGCTTCGATACCTTCAAGCTTTTATCGATAAATCACTATTTTATTAACACTGAAACAGTGATTATTGATATACACAAGTGTTTACATTATAGATTATAAATTATAAATATTTTCTTGGTGTGTACACACTCGCTGTGTGCACATACTCACTCGCTCGCCACCTGTACATAATGAATTGTAATTTGAACAGACGCGGAGAACTCTGAATGCCCGTAATGTGTGTCTGTGAGTGCGTGTGTGTGTCCATGTGTGTGTGTGGGAATGTATGTGTGTCAGCTATTAACTTAAATTACGTAGCATACTTTTGTGAGCCGCCAGCGGATTTACCGGCTGCTGCCACTGGCTTTTATAAATGAATACACAAGAAAAAAAAATATGGAAAAATATAAAAAAAATTCAGAAAGCTAAAACTAAAAGACCATAATTTCCTATAGCCTAAAAATAAAGTAAATAAACCCTAAAAATGTAGATTATAAGCTTATCTATGTTCAATAAATTAATTTTCTGAGTGTATATGCCACAATAGCAGCGCATTAAAGCTAAGAAGGTGCGAAAAGAAAACCTCAAGCGAAAAAAAAAGAAATAAAGAAAGAATCCCAGACACAGGCAGTATTATTTGATGGCATGCCTGGCCCAAGAATTTTAGTGCTACCTTGATTAAACAACAAACATTACATTATAGGGACATTTGCATAGTTATGTGTATACCCCCTTCCCCCTGCCACACCTCCATGTGTGAAATTGTCAGCATATCTCGACGAGGATATATATTCCTATATTAAATGAAACGAAAATTAAATCAGAGATTTTAGGATAATTTGGCAAAATATTGCAATTTGCCTTTTTGTTTTAATTTATGCGAAAAACATGTCCGGACATGCAAATAAATGTTTAACACACATTTGCATATATATCTCCAAAATCAGTGCCAGTGCGGCAGCGACGGGGGCGGGGACAGGGACTTGTGCAACAAATATTTGCCACAAAAGGTCGTTGTAAACGACAGGTGGGTTTTTTTTTTGGGGTGTGTATGTTGCGGTTACGATTTTGCCAGTAGCGGTAACAGGCGGTGTCAAAACCGGAAACGGAAACAAAGTTCACACTTGGCTTCCGACCAGCCAACAAAAAAGGGAAAAGCCAGGCCAACACAAAATCATATGCAATCTGCCACAAAAGAGGGAGGGGGTGGGGGCAGTAATTAGTAGAGGGGGTCAAAGGGTTAGAGGCTTAGAGGGAAAATGTAAACAAACCGCAAATGCAATACAAATCTTTCAAAAGGATAAACAGCTAAAAATAAACATTAAACCAGGGGTTTTAATTTTTTTTTATTAAATATAATAATATTATTTATTAACTTTTTAAAAATAATACATCTTGCATGATAATTACTTTCACATTACGTATACGCAGTGTATAACCCTCATTGCTTTAAACTCCTTACTCTCGAAAACCCTCTTATTTTAAATATAAATTCCCCTCGCATTTAATTCAATTTAGAAAAGACAAATACTTTTTAATTATTTATTTATTTATGCAAAATGGCGTAAGGATGAGAGAGAGAGTGCTCATTAAAACAACACTGGGCGTACGGACTTGTGGTTGACGTTGTTTGCCAGACAGTTGGGCGCCAATTTTCATTGCCGGACGACCTTCAGTTTTAGCCACAAAAGGGGGAAGTGAAGGGTAGACTGGGTAGTTAACCTAACCCCCCACCCCACCCCACCCCACCCCACGCTTCACAATCAGGCATTAACAGACGACGCATGTTGCGTATACGCAGTGTGGTACGCACTCTTAGTATTTTCTTTCCTTTTCCTGTTGAATTTTATTTTTGCTTTCTTCCTTCGTTCTTTTTATTATTTTTTCTTAACCTTTTCTCTCTTCTTGCAACTGCCTCGAGCCGAAAATGGAATGACAGGCAAAGTGAAAAAATGGCAAGAGACCCCAGCGAGCATTAAGGGATAAGCTCGCTGTGAATATGTTAATTGTCCTGCCTCCATTGTCCTGCCTGGCTATGGTTGAGTGTGAGTATAAGTGTTTATAAGGGTGTGGGTGAGAATTTATGTATGTGTGTGTGTGTGTGGTGAGGTAGAGGCTCCAAAAACAGCAAACTGCTGACAATGGAAATGTATTATAATTGGAGAGGGAGACAATTTTGTTTGGAGATTGATGATGCCTCTATGGCCGAGAACAGCTATTCCTAAGTGGATAAAAAGCTGAATTATCGATATGCTTTGGGGCACTATGCCTTATGTTACTAGAAATCATTTGATTGATATTTTGATGGTTTTTTTGGCTTAAATAGTTGGTTAAGATGCGTTTTATGTCCTACGTTTGGTCTTTCTACAAAATATAAAAAAATAAATGCAAGAATTAATTTCTGCTTAGATTTAAATGAAGAATAGTGCAGAATCTATCCACAAACCTGTCAATATTTTCCTCTAAAGGATCTAATAGGAATTACTTAAGATATAGCTTTTGTTCTACGCCTCATTAGAGAAATACCAAATATATTTAAAAGTAAAAGTAGGCTATTCCAACGTAGGCTTTTCTTTGTTAGTTACTTTTTCTAGACAACCTCACAACGAATCCAAATTTCTGGGAGTTAACATTCCGTAAAATCTATTTTAAATATATTTAAAAAAAACAAAAAATGGACAAAATTTTAGAAATTCTGAAATTAACACAAACTCAAAGGACGGATTCCCATCAATATTCGAGAAATGTTATCCCTGAGCACTGGATTCATTGTCCGTTGCTTTGCCAAACTTCCCGGCTGTGCATGGGCCTGCGAAAGTTGATACAAATCGGCATAATACTCCATTCCGGGAATGCCAACGGCGTTAAAACAGGCCGACACTTCGGTGCAGTCGATAATTGAGGTTTTAAGCGGCGTTACCAACAGAGTCGAGTAGTACGGGACCTTCTTACCCTCGATCAGTTCCCGAACTAGCAGGACCGCTGTCCTGGATCCGGCCAGTAGATTCCAACGCGACCAACTAAAATTATGCGATTGTGCCAATGTGGCGAGACAGGCATAACAATGCATTTCCATAACATAGTTCTTCTCGCAGGATCCCTCCGTATAGCAGAAGGCATCCTCGTCAGGAAAAATGTCAACAGCCGATAGAATTAAGGTGGCCTTCAATTCCGCCAACGATAGTGTCTTGCCAATCATATCCGTGATGCCTTGAGTGCTGCCGCCTTGAAAGTTATTAACCGTATACCCGAATTCCGTAATGGTCATGTCCAAGCTGATGAGCGATGCAGTAAAGCTGAAAATTATAGTACCAGGACTAACAACAAGCAAATGAATGTTTTATAAAAAGGATAATGGATAATGAATATTTTATGATTCTCACTTCTTCATATCCGGTCTCAAGTCCCAAGTTTGATACGGCATATTGCTATACTTGTTCAACGCAAATCCAAAAATTCCTGGTTATATTTACAAAACAAATTTTTAAGTACAGTTCGATAGAATCCTAGTCACATCATCTCACTTACCCAATCGTCCTGTACGAAATTGTATGGATAGCTTATCCTCATTAAATTTCGTATCGTGAACATCTCGAGTACTCCACTTTCCTTGGGTCAGGGCGGCCGCCGTGCTTTTCCTTTGTTTGCTTTGGATATTGTATAGAAAATCAAATAGATATATATATGTATAGTGTGGGGGCTACCTTATCCTTATCCACCACCCCCTTATCGGGGGTTTGTTTAATGGACCGCTGATCAATCAAACTGTCAATTATTGAGTGCCCTGTTTGGTTACCTTTCGCTGTCGCTGGTATTGTCGCTGGTGTTATTGTTGCTGGCAGGACCCAGGAGGTCGTGAAGCGTATTCCCAGCTGTGGAGGTGCCGCCGGCACCTTCCAGCAACGCCACCAGGCTATCCACATCATCCTCGTCGTCCTCGCTGCTGTCCATGCTGTTGGAGCGCTTGCTGGTGGCGTTATCCTGCTCGCCGTCTGTCTCCGACGGCATTTGTGAGTCCTTCACAAAGGATATGCCCGTGTAGTAAGCGAAAGCAGCAGCAGCTGTGGCTGGTTGCAGGACATCCACCAGCTCTTGACTGAGGGGTTGCATGTCCTCGGGAAGATCGTTGAGGTTCTGGGATCCTTCCCTTTCCCGGCCATCCTTCTCAGCTGTGAATTTATAGGATTTTTAGTTAAAACCATTAAAAATATAGTCTGAAAGCTTAAGTACATCGATATCTATCGATTAAAAATATCAATTAATATCTATAAAGTGCGATCACTATGGATCTCTGAATTAGTGATGGCAATTTTTCCAGAAAACATAAAAAATAATTCTCTGAGAAATAGTAACTATCGATATAAATATCGGTTCAAAGTGTCCATTACTATCTATGAAGTGCGATCACTATCGCTCTATTCTCTGAGGAATAGTAACTATCGATATAAATATCGGTTTAAAGTGTCCATTACTATCTATGAAGTGCGATCACTATCGCTCACTGGATTAGTGATGGCGCATATCGATAGCAATATATCGTTAGCTTAATTGAAAAATACCCACCACCATCGCTTCCTTTGGATCCTGTTGGTGAAAGTTGTTCAGAAATCTGTTGGATAATCTCCTCCTGCTGTTCCCTGGGCAACTGCAGTCTCCACAACCGATCCATGTCCTCGATTAGCTGCGAGAACAGGTAACCGCCCACCTGCACAACCGGACGTGCTGCCATTTGCCGGAATTTCAAAAGTTTATCAAAACAAAGTGGTGGAAATAGCTCAGCCGGTTCATCGGTGTCCAAGAACTCTGCCCCCAGGCCGCTTTTCGTCCCCAAATTCAGGTCTTCCGGCCTGGTTAAGGGGTCTTCGGCATTGCCAACACTCGAGGCCTGGCCCTGGCCCAAACGAATGTGCGTCTGCCGCGCCAGGAACATGACTCTCCTTTGCCGCAATCCACTTTCAGAGCACGGAGTCGATTGTTCCAAACGAACACAGAATCCTTGCGGCAAACGCGGCACCACAAAGTCCTTCACCAAACCGTACAAGTCCACATCACTGGGTATGGCACGCAGATCAAAGTCATTAATCTCTCGAAGGATCTAGGAAGTATATATATACATATATGTATATATAATATAATATAAATATATCTATTTTTTAAATTTATTTAGAAACCCCCTACCTGCTGTTGGGAGTTGCCTTGGTTATCCGATTTTTGTGAACGCATTCTCGCCGGGCAACGCGGCGAACTCTTCAATGGACTCGGCTGGGCGTGCGTGGATAGGGGTGTGGCTTCTGTAGGCGTGGCCGTGGTGCCCGCCGCCGTGCCACTCACAGCTCCAGTGGCATCTGCGTCGACATCTGCCTCGGTTTCCGCTTTCTTAGTATCCGGCACCATGCCATCCGCCAGTTCCATTTCCAGAGTCTCCACATGTGTCTCCCAGCGACAGGCAACTGGAGGCTCAAACCAGATCACAGAATCCGGTAATCTATATATACATATATTTTATATATTTCTTGTTGAAAAAGGATATAAGCCACTTACTGTAGTGTCACCAAAGCCAGCTTGTCCAGCGCCGCTTCAATCATTCGCATTTCAGCCTCGATTTCCTCCGGCAGACGTCGGACTCCGGGTAGTACAGGTGGCGGGGGCTTATACGTTTGATAATACTCTTTATGGATGAGACTATTGGCTGAAGTAACTGGAAATAAAGTAATATAATTATAAATTCTTAGAAAAAGCCAATCCCATACTTGTTCGTATAAAAGATCTAGCATTAAGTTGCTTATCCTGCTGAGGTGTTTCCAAAAAATCAATGCAATAGACTCCTCCGATAATCCTGTACTTTCGCAGATTCACATCCGTTTCCAGCATTCCATAGGCCTCTGGTCCGATGGCTCTGCGATGGGCCTTACTGAGTTCATCCTCGTACTCGGCATACAGCTTGTCCACATCATAGGTCTTCTCCTTTGGCGGCTGGGAACTGGCCGAGTGCTGTTCCTGGGTTAGTTGCTCCAACTCGGATAGGGGGATTTCCCGGCCACATTCATCCAACATGGCCTGAAGAATCTCCTTTCGTTTGCGCCACTCGCGTTTCGTTTGTCGAAGGATATCTTAAAATGCGATAATTAATCGATAATTAATTAATCAAACATGTTTTATTGAAGAACTTTTAAGTTTTGATGAGAATTATTAATGAAATCTTACTGGCATTGGCAGATCTAGCATGTTTGAGGCTATAGCTGGCACAATAATCACTAAAATGATCATAATTTAACCATAAACCCCTCAAAGCAGAGCTTTGTAAGTGGACAGTGGGCGGCAAAGAAATTTGCATCTCAATTGTGGGAAAATCGATCTCATTATGGGCAGACTGCTCACCAATACGGGCCTTGGGATTAATGGCTCTATAAAATATAAATATTATAAATATTAAATATTAAATATATAACTAACATTTGTGCATCTTTGGAGAAAGTCCAGACGAAACTTTGAAAGACATCTGAGCTGTAGATGTGTTTTGATACTCCAGGTCTATCGATTCTGTAAAGAGTGTCTGGGATTAGTTATAAACTATAGGAATAACTATATAGTTTTCTCACTCCATATCCCTTTCTATGTGTGACATGGTTTTGTAGGTGAATTCATCTAGATGCTGTCTCAAAAAAACTCTCATTTCGGTTTTAAGTTTAACGAGATCGGCAGCCACATGTATAGATCTTTGTTTAAAAGGCAGCATATCATCAAGTTCGTTGAGGATCTTCAGAAAAAAAATGGAAGCCCAAGATGGTGTTTAAAGTTTTCTTATGGTGTATGAAGTCATCTCACCCCCAGCACCTCCTTGATCCTTTGGGCAAAGACATCGCCCAGTGAGCCCTGCTGCTGGCGCAACGATATCCTGGTCAAGTCCGGCACCTGGGCGTCTTGGGTGAGCAGGGTCCTTTCGTCCGTTCTCAGCAGCCAGTTGCGCGACTCCAGCTGCCTTTTGGCAATATCCGTGTGCCACTGATGGATGTACTTCCTCAGATCACTGGGACTGGCGGCATTGGGTAGGCCATTGCATCGCATAAACTTCTCCCAGTCCCGTTCGTGCCGCTCCCCATCCTTGATGGCCTCGATGGCGGTCCGAACGGAGTCGAAGAAGAGCATGCTGTCCTTCAACTGAGACCGGCGTATCCTGTTTTCGGCCACCTCCTGTTGCTGGCGATGACGGGCCTGTTCCATTTCCAGTTTCTTACGCTGCCTAGCTTCCTCTAGCTTTTTCATTCTAAGGATTAAGGATTATTATAAATAATATATAATTTCTTTTTTTTTGGAAAACTGACTTTTCCTTTTCCATTTCGATTCGCATTAGCTCCGCCTGTTCGGCCTCCAGGCGGGCCTTCTCCTTCTTCGAAAGCTTCTTCTTTGGCGGCTTTGAATTAAAATTATCATTATTATTATTTTTTGTTTTTAAAATTAAAAAAAAAGCTTACCATTTTAAGTTAATAAGCTGGCAAGTGCTAACTGGCTATTGATCCAACGATGTTCCGGGTCCTCCTGCCAACCGTCAGGTTGCCCCCGGCAACTCAAACTTTCCATATCCTTTGGGAACTCCTGCCAATTAAATATTCAATGACGAATAAAGCTATTTGGTATCCTGTATCCTGTCCAGCAGGATGATTCATCTAGAAATGGCAACATTTTTATGGCCAAATTGTAATTAATTAGCTGACAAACGCTTCTGGTTCAATAATTAATTTTATTCATTTATTTCTTGAAATGAAAAAAAAAAAAATAATAATAATAAACTGTTTTAATTAATACTGACATTATGCCATTAATTACAATAATAATTATTATTTTCCTACATCGCACCCTTGGGCTAGGCATTTAATTAAAAAATGGAAATATATTTAACATTATTTTTTTTATTGATTTCCCAAAAGTTAATTGCCAGAAGCTGAAACTTTTGCCTTCTTGTGGTTGTGTATCCTTTCCGCTACTTTGTTAAATATCCTTTCCACCTGGTTTCCACCTTTTACCGGAAAAATCCTTTCGTTATTTTCAACTTTTTTTTCGCAAAGTTTTTTTTAGCTTCCCTTTTCCTTCGATTCATGTGGGAAAAATTTCTGCTTCTGATTTTTCTTTTGGGTGGCAGAGTGTACCTCCCACCTCCCCTTTGGGGTGGTGTCAAGGTGACAACGCCGCTTAATTACCAGTCTATTTAAATTCCAGTCGAGCTCCGCCTGGTTTCGAGTTTTTGGTTCGCCGGCTAATTGCCGCCGCGACCCACCTTTTGGCTTATCAAATTGATAGTCCTGCCTAGGTCCTGGCTGGGTTCTGCAAGGAGGTCCTGCCTGGGTTCTGCTAGGAGGTCCTGGCTGGGTTCTGCCATGAGGTCCTGCTAATTTTTATCTGCCAGAGTTTAAAAGAGGGTGTTTGGAAGGGAAAATATTTAAAGGTTATATTTTATGGGAGGTATATTTAAATCTTATAAGATTCTAACTAAAATACTATTTTATAATTATTTTATTTTTTGAATCAACTTCCAAATAATATTCAACTATTTTCGCAAACCTACTTTATTTTTCAATTATTTTTGTTCCATTCTTTTGACCTTTTTCTGCATCCTGTTGTCCTGGCTCTTGGTTTCTTATCCACTTTTCTTTATCTCTGCTTCCGGGTCACTCTCTGCCCTTAACAGAGTTCCTTTTTTGGGGTTTTATTTGTGGTTCTTTTTGGTGTGGCAAGCTTATTTATTGCAGTTGCCCCATTGGGAGGTGCAGGATGGGTCAGCCACAGGACATGGCGCTTAATCCTTTCCGCTCTCCACTGGCCACATACACACACAGGCACACAAGTCGATTGGGTAGGAAGAACAGGTGCCTATAATGCGATATAATTTGTGTAAATAATGCAGATGCTTGTGGCACTTGCCCTGTGACATGCCAATGGAGAATAATTAGTTTAAATTGCAAAAGTGGCAGCCGTGTGGCATATTCAAAATGCAAAATGTGCCAGACATGGGGGCGGATGCACAATAAAAATTTATCATACGCACCGTTGACGTTGACAGATCGTTGAAGGCGACAGGCGACAGCCAACGGGCGACAAACTGCAACAACAAAAGCCATAAAAAAAAAGTGCCAGAAGTAGTCTTTAGAATGTGCTGCAGCTCAGCTCCCTCTACATCCCCCCATATATCCTTATCCCCATCCTTGTGAATCCTTGCCATCCTTTCCGCACGCTCGGCTGAACCCTGCAATCTGACAAAATTGGTGAATGGCGAATGGTTAAATGCTCCGAGTTGCAAAATGAAACTGCAGCTCAAGCGGAAGTTGAGTCCTTTTTCTTTATATATCCTGCCACTCTCTCTCTCTCTCTATATCCTTTTTATTTTATAAAATTTTCTTTTAATATTTGTCAGTTAAGCCTTTTGGCCAGAAATGAAATGCATTGCCAGGCTTTGCTTTACTTATTGGCTTTTTAAATTATATATTTTCTTTATTTTAATGCTTCTTTTTTGGATTTAATAGGTTTCTAAATAATATTGTTTATTTTTCATTAAAAACTAGGAGATTTTACATTTTTTTTAAATTAATAATCGAATTAAGTTTTTTTATTTGAATTTTTGGGCGCTGCTTAAGTGCCACCTATGAGAATCGAGGAGGAGGGCACTTTTTTTAATAATTGGTTATTTTTAATTTTTTATAAAAAAGTCGATTTATATTTTTTTATTTTATTTTTTGGCGCTGCTTAGGTGCCACCTATGAGAATCGAGGAGGAGGGCGCTGTTTTTATAAATTGGTTTTTATTTATTTCCAAATTATTTTCCATAAAAAAGTCAATTTTTATTTTTTTTTATTTCCATTTTTTGGCGCTGCTTAGGTGCCACCTATGAGAATCGAGGAGGAGGGCGCTGTTTTTTATTAATTAATTAATTTATTATTTTTATATTATGTTTCTTTTAAAAGCCTTTTCAGGCAACCATTTCCTCTGCAATGACCTTAACCACATTTTATTGGGTATCGTAGCTGTCGCTATAAGCTGTCGGTACAATATTTGTCTCTCTCCTGTCGATTTTATAATTACATATTCTGAGGTTATATCTGGTGTCCAACGGAATGGGCGTCATGGGCGTTATGGGGTGTGATTCGAGGCGGAATGGTTTCTTAATGTGCTCGATGCGACGTTGATGGCATTGCAAATGTGCACACGCTCCAGTCACCAAAAGCCATCTGTGTGTGTGTAGGTGTACCTTGGATGGGAGTGGGTGTTGGTATGAGTATGAGTATGAGTGTGAGTGGGTGTGCTGCAAGTACTTAGTAGACTGATAGACTTGGACACCCCTCACTCAAACGTACACCCCTTGAATTTCCTCCTGAATTTCCGCCCCTCATGTTCCATGTCAGATTTGGCAGACAACAACTGCTTAACGTTTGGAAAATGGGAAAATGCGAGAAAATTCGGAGGGTGGTGGGGTATCTTTATGTTTGTATAGTGTAGGTGTGTGTGTTTATAAGCCAGTGGTCGTACATTGAAAATTGCAAATATATTGAGGCATTCTCATAAGCCATAACCAAACGATGATTCGTATTCAGAGTCTGTTGACATAATTGAGCCAATGGAGAGCTTTGTGTTTGGCTATCATGGGTTAACAAACAGATGTATATTTATATGCTAATATTAATGGCTTTATATTCAGGGAGGATCTAGGATTAAAGGGGGTATATACTTATATATGATATTATTCAAGTTAAAAGACTTTAAGTTAGTTTTCCAGTAGGATTTGGATTAAAAAATGACTTCTATATGGCTTAGGACCACTTATTTCCTTTTAATATAAAATAAACACTTTCTAAAATGATGAAACTAATTTTGAAATATTTTAGTTTTTATTAAAAATTAAAATTTTCTTCAATTTTCAGCTGCCTGTGTAAAAAGTAAATTCTCATATCGTCAATAAATCGCCTTCCTGCCCTAAGCACTATATCAACAATAATAATAACAACAACTATCAAAGCAACAACAAATAAAAAATAAAATAATTAACAATTAAATAAATAACAATAATAACAACAAAGTCTACCAAAAAGCAATCGAACATAGCGAATAATAAATAAATGTTGTACATAACTACGGATACACTGTAAATAAATTGTACGAAAATAACCTAAAATAACCAAAAACTAAAAAAAAGTAGAGTTTTAAAAATTACCAAAAAAAAGAAGCCTAAAAAAATACATAATAATTGGTCTTTTTTAATTAATAATAGAATTTTTAGAAATGAATTTATTTAATTATAAAAGCTCTACTTTACAAGTTTTTGGTTTAAACAAATAATCGATCAATTTCGATTATAATCGATAAATAATGAGTTCATTGACAGAATCTTTGGCCAGCAAAATTTAGCTAGAAGACAAAATATACAAGGAGGGGAATTTTTTGAATTAAAATCAACAAGCCGAGATACCCAACAATAATTAGCAATAAAATACAAATTTGGTTAACAAACAACGGAACACCCCCCTAAAATATAACAAATAATTAATTAAATATATTTCTAAAATATAAATCAAAACTGAGGGAGAGAGAGAGAGAGAAGGGGAAAAAGGATAAGTTGTACGCCCATTGTGATTCTTAATTTTAGACATATTAGGCCAAGAAACCAACCAGAAACCAAGAACAAGAGAATCTTTGCTCAAAAAAATTAGAAGAAAAAAATAAAGTAACAGAAATCGAAAAAAAAATCGAGCAAAACGACCAAAAAAGGCTGCTTCCAAAGCAACATTGCAAAAAGCAAAGCAAAAGCAAGAGCAACATCAGCCGCCCAAGCATAGCAAGTCTCTTAGTTCAATTCCATCCAACAAAAATAAAAAAAAAATCAACAAAGATTCTAAAATAAAAAATAAATACATTTCTTTTAATTTCGAAAAGAAAACAAAAGGATAAGGAATTTAACTTTCGTCTCTCTCAACTGAAAAGAAAATAAATTTCATTTGGAAACTTCCTCCTCAACGCCAAGGTTTCTTCTCGAAAATCGCGAGTGCGTTTCAATAACAACTATAACTATAACTAATACACATACAAAATATTACAAACTATAACTATACAATTTCGAACCGAGGCCAAGGAGGTGCAGACCAACAGCCGCCAAGATGACCATGTGGCAGAGTGGCGGCATGGGAGGCCATGGCTCCCAGAACAATCCATGGATGAAGCTGATGGGCATTGTCCACAAGGAGCGACGCCACACGGACAATGTCCAGAGCCAGTCGGGTTCCAACGAGCGCAACTTGAACCAGTGAGTACTATTTTTTCTTATTTATTTTTAAGGTCTAAAGGTTTAAAGTCTTTGAAGAACTATTTATACAATAAAGGTTTCCTTTTTTTGCTTTTATAAGTACCAGGTATGAATAGTTTGAATAATATTTCTTTTATCATTTTTATCTTGAGTACTGGGTATGAATATTATGAACAAAGTATTTCCTAGAAATTGTTGATAATGTTCTCAATCAGAGAATAATAGTTTGGGGGCTAAAACTGATAACTTTCTTTATGAAAATATACGTCTATATCACCCCAAGTATCGGATATTATTACGTATTATAATAATTATCCAATTACATAGCAAATTACTTATTATAAGACTTAAGTCCTTAAGCTTTTAAGAAAGGGATATGAATAGTAAAAATAATACTTCTCATAGACTTTATAATAGCAAAATTTACTCTTAAAATTAGCTTTTATGTATGCTTTAAGTACCGGGTATGAATATCAACAAAATAACGTTAGAAACGCCCCTTAGAAACTCTTAAAAAATTTTATGAGATAAAGATAAATAGCCAGTGACTTAAAACGGATAACTTCCTTAATATACATACGTCTATATTACCCCAAGTACCAGGTATTATTAATTATTACAAAAATTACCCTATAAACTAACCATAAACCTAATAAAATTGTTGAAACTTTCTCCAAACACTTAGTAACATATTCCCTCACAAAAACAAATCCTTAAAAAAAAAAAAGGAGAAAAGTGAAAAATTGGTTGTAAAACAAATAGCAAGTATAACAAGATAAACAAACAAGCGAGTGATAAGTGGGCTACTTATATAGTATATCCTTCCTGCTTATGCCCGGACCACTACCAGGACCTGGATCAGGACCAGGACCATCCCCAGCCCCAGCCCCAACCCCAGTGCTTGTTATAATTTCCTGAAGACTCAATAAGCGTAATTTTGCATAGTTATGCGATTGAATCAATGGGGTAAATGCACTGGAAAATAAAGGGGGTAAGACTTGAATAAAATTTAAAAGAGAAAATAAAGAAATAAGGATAGGCTAAAAGGATATTTATTTATATCCTTTAAAGGCCTTATATAAAAAAAATCATACTTAATTTTTTTGTAAATTTTTTTCGCAGTGCTGCCTGCTCTTAGTGCTTGTGTGTGTTGGCACAAGGATATTCGACGCTGCTTGCGCAGCAAAGTATGCCGCGTTTTTTTTTGCTTTTCCACTCTTCCTCTTCCTCTCTCTTTCTCTCTCACTCCTCAGAGTCCTTCGACGAATGTCGAATGTGACTGTGGATGCCATGTTATGCATATTGGTCGTAAAACATGCGGCAACTGCGCAATTAAATGGCCCGCAATGCAAATGGAATGCCCAGGACATGGCCAGGATATGGCCAGTGTGGGGTGGAGGGGGGGCGGAAGGCAGGATCAGAGCATGGAGAGTCATTTACCACAAATCAACGCTGGGCCACCAATTGTTGTAGAATGGGGGTGGGGTGATGGGGCACTGTGTAAATGATATATCCCTCTGGTCAGTGGCATATCCAACTATCATTATCCTACCAGGCACCGCTGCCTCGCTACCCACCCACCCGGACCATCCTGCCACCTTTATCCTGGCAGTGGGCTTGGGACTCTCTGGGCTTTTAAATTGGCTATAAATGCGCTGGAGCATAAATGGATTTACACACATGCAGCTTGTTGCTGTCCCACTCATTCATTTCCCATTTCCCATTTCCACTCTCCGTTATCCTTGCTCCATGTTCTTTGGTCTCTCTCCATTTTCCATTTCTCATTTCCATGTTGCATGCAAATACAGGCCGCATTTCTGCCACTTTACCATATTCACTTGTCCGAGTCCTTAAAACAAAAAAAAAAAGAAAGAAATAAAATAAAAAAAGGAAAAAGAAAAATAATAAATAAAAAAAAAAAAGTACGTCACCACTTACCCAGTGCTTGTTGCTGAGGTGTATTATTTAAAAAGGATATGAAAAAAAAGGACACACTCACACACACACACAGAAATACAGCGAAGGATTCAAGGAAGCGAAAGGCAACTTCCGCCAGGCAGATGCAAATTGTTTAAGGAAGTAAAGTGATTAATTACCTTTTGGTTAGAGAGAAAAAATAAAGGATCTCAGTTTTAAATACATTTTACTTAAAAGGACTACGGCTTTAAGGATAATTATAATGGCTATTATATCTGAAAAATATTTTGAGACAATCTGTTTAATAGTTTGGGGCTTTTCTGATCTTTAAAAATAACTTTTGAAGAATTGGAAGTGTTTTTTATTAGAACTATATGATACCAGGTACTTATAGGGTGCCTATTGATAAATAAATAATATCTAGATTTGATTAGGTATGGAAAGAAAGTCGTAATGTCCTTTCAAGTAGTATTTTTTAAGGAAGTTCAGATTCGTAAAGCTAGAATCCTCTTTATATGTTTCATTCTTTATGGTATGGTATTTTTTCTTTGAAGTAAGTAGAAAATCTTAGGTAGACTGATGTTTAAAACAAAGGGTGTATAAACTATCTTAGATACCCTCTAAAGAAGTTATGATACGAACTATTTAGGGTTTAGTTAACGACCTATATGATTTCGTCTTAAAATATATAATAAAGAACACAAAAATTGAAGTACCGGGTATAAATAAAAAATACTAGAGGTACAAATACTACTTTAATAATATAATACCTTAGAATTAACAAGTATAGTCCGATCTTTCAAACAAATGGAATATAAAATACCAAAAATACACCCTAAAATACCTCTTCCAAAATGTATAACTATATGATACCTGGTACTTATAGTGGTACATAGCAATCTTGTCTAGAGAGAGAAAGAAAGTATTGTCTGAAAAAATATTCAACTACATATTTATATGATACCCAATACCCATAGTGAGCCTCTTTAGAAAAAAAATAATACTCAAATAGGAAATATACAAATAATTTTCAAGTATTAATTTCATTTTTAAATATTCCCAAGTACCGGGTATGAATAATAAAAAAACTAAAAGTATAAATACTACTACAAAAAAATAATATCATTAAGAAAGTCTAAAAGTTAACACTCCCTGTTACCATTCTCTCAGTGCATAAAAGTTAGAAATGTCGTGAAGCTGGGAGGGAACTTTTCAATTGCACTCCAGGACTCGATGGGATCCTCTTCTCCTGGTGCTCCTGCTGCTCCTGCTGCTAGCCAAACTTCAGTCGAGCGGATTAATTGAACTAGTTCCCCAATTTGCCAACTAATGTGCTCTAGGATTCAGTTTGCCAGCATCCTTTGGTCCTTTGGTCCATGGTCCTTGGTCCTTTCTGTTTTCCATGGGGTATCATAAATTTATGCACCCTCATATACGCACTCACATATAGTAAACACACTCACACAATGGAAAGCACTTGAAAATGAAAGGATAATAATAATATTTTTATTTTATTATATTTTAGTTTTTCCCTTTGGCAGTATCAACATATGGGCGGTCGGCTGGGGGTGGTGGGCGTGGCTTAAGTGCAGCTCTCAGTTGCAACAGCACTTGAATGCATACATATACTCACATATATGTATATACTTTTAACAGTAACTGTGTGTGTATGTGGCATGTGGCAAAGTGTTGCAAAGTTCTCGCCCTAACTGTGCGATGATTTCGGGGATTCCGCCGGATTATTTTCGCCAAGTATTTCACAATTTATTTCCGTAATCGTATACTTTTGTGACCTGCTCTTTGCCCTTTTTGCTTTCACTTCCTTGCCCTCTTCACCTCTGTCCTGGTGTTGTACCATAAAAGTTATGAATTATTTTATTACATTCCAAATGAATTTTGAAAATTGTTTCATATTTTTAAGTGGCCGACTTCGAGAGGCTAAAAATCGTTGAAAATGAAAACGCTTCAAGTGGCTGCCATTGAAGTGTATTGACTTTCAATGGTAACAAAAAAAATGGAAAACTTTTTTAAAAATTTTATTAAACATTTAGGAATAAAGTAAGAAATAAGATATATATTTTAAATCCTAATTCAGGCTCGATTCAGGTTCCATTCCTGTTGAGAATAGTTGATTAATTTTTAAGCCCTTAAAGCAAGAAGCTAAAATAATAAATCATTTGAGCCAGTTTTAATTTCCGTTTTTATTTTTTATAATTTTTTTTCCAAGAAATAAAAGCTATAGCCAAAATCATAAAGATCTTAAAGGTCAGAGAGGCCAACCCACACAAGGACCTATACATATGTACCTATTTTGGCTTTATATTTCGCTACACTTTCCCCCCTTTTGGCTGGAGGAAAGCAACAGTTGAACATTTTGGAAAATTTGCATAAATTCTTTGGCTCAGGACCGCCTTTAGCTGCCCTGCCCTGCCCTCTCCCCTCTCCTCTCAGGAGGGAAGGTCTTTTCTGTTTTCGGCCAACTTTGAATTTATAGAAATGTGCACGAAACTGTTTCCATTTGGCTCTTTTGTTGCCCTTCAAAGGCAACAAGCATTTGGGTCCAAGCATGTTCATATGAATACTTTATAAGCCCAATCCTTACCCTTTCTTCGGGCTCTACTCTTGTTGGTATTGCCATCTCTTACCCTTTATCGCTAGCCGTCTCTTTCCATGTCGCCTCTGCTATATGTGTGTGGGTGTCTTTCATGTTTCATTTCATCTAAAGTCTTGTATTTATGGTGGGAAATGTTTGAAGTTGACGAAACCATCGACACGGTTGTAATATTTAAGGGCAACAGTGGAGATTTTACACTTGAAAAAATTATAGAAGTAATTTTAGATAAAGAAAAGATTTAGTAAAAAAAATAAATAAAGAATTAAGTCTACAAAGCCTAAAAGCTTTTTTAGCTTTTATTGGAATTTTTTTTTAAATTTATTTTAAAAACATATAGATATTTTTTTCAGTGTCTATCACTAGTAAATGCCACAGCTTCTGTATAGAGCCCCTCTCCACCTCCAACTCCTCCCTCTTTTCACAGCTATTTTGCATTGAAATTGAAATGTCCGCAGTTTTTGTTTTTTTT